TGCATGCGAGAATTTGAAATCATTTTATTGCAAACTCAAAGTTTATCGATAAAGCCATTTAATTAAAGGCAGTTTAGTTTTATAAAGAACACTTTAAAGGGATACGGCAATATATTTTTTATTATTTCATTTTAAAAAGCTTTTAGAATTATATATTAATCTCCTTTACCGATTTTGCGTAACTTTATTATTTCTTGAAATATTTTGGGAAATGGCAATATATTTTTTTATTTTCTCGTTTGAAAGAACATTAAAAAGCACATATAAAACTCTTTTACCGTTTTTACATATCTTGCTTACTTCTACAAATATTTTAATCGAAAGAAATGAAATGTCCGCCATCTTGGATTTTTGTAGATATGCATGTTACGTCACAACAGGAGTCACGGAATATTTCTATCTAGACAACCACTAATCATTTTGCACTCAAAACTATACTCTGTATGCCCTTGGAAATATCAAGATCACTTGAAACGTTTAAAACATCTACCAATCAATATTTGGTCAGCAACGAATACTTTTATATGGTTAATCCCTGTTGTGACGTCACCAAAACTACCGTTAATGAGATCAAAAATTTATCCAAGATGGCCGACATCTCATTACTTCAAGTGAAAATATTTCAAGAACTAAGCAAGATATGAAGAGTCAGTAAAAGAAGTTATTAAATAGTTTCGAAAGTTGTTTCAAATGAGAAAATAAAAAAATATATTGCCATTTCCCTAATAATTTGCTGTCCGCCATCTTGGATTAATTTTTATCTCATTGGTGATTTTAGTGACGTCATAAGCAGGGTTAGCCATATAAAACTACATCTAAATGACCAAATAACATTAAGTCTTGTTTGAAAAGTCGTCAGACTATTTTTTATTTCAAATAGTTACTGAAGTATATGATTTTGGGCTCATAATAACCAATTGCTCTATGGATAAAATTCTTGCGTGACCCTGCTTATGATGTCACATGCATATCCGCCAAAATCCAAGATGGCGGAAAGCTCGCTGATTTGTGATTTTTTCTGTTCAAATATCTCAAGAAATAATAAAGTTACGCAAATCGGTAAAAGAGATTTACATATATTTTAAAAGTTCTTCCAAATGAAATAATAAAAAAATATATTGCCCAATCCCCTTAAAACGTTTTGCGAAGCTTCTCTCTGCTTTAATGTTCAAAATAGAAACAATGTGTAAATGGCTGTGTTTTAACTCCATATGCTCATTTTCAACTAAAATCATGCTCATTTTCAACTAAAATCGGAACAGGCAAATTAGGACGAATTTCAACAGAAAACCAGTCTCAAACTTCAAATCGTGAGGGAAGTCGTGCGACCACATTAGCATTTATAATGTGTGCTTCACTGTCGCCATTGTTATAAATAAATTGTCTCACTTATCAGATCGTGTGTGCAATTCTTGTTGGCGGCGGAAAGTACGAAATTTAT